GTGAACTGCGAGGAAGTCTCAGGCGGGAGCCCCCTCCCTATGGGGCCCGCAGATCATGTTGGTAATCCGAGCGGGTCATCGGAACTTGTAACTGTCGTCACTTTTGGGCTCCTCAAGCCTGAATATGGAGGAAGTCTCAGGCGGGAGCCTCGTCTGCGAGTGAATTCTGAGGAAGGCTCAGGCGGGAGCCCCCTCCCTATGGGGCCCGCAGATCATGTTGGTAATCCGAGCGGGTCATCGGAACCTGTAACTGTCGTCACTTTTGGGCTCGTCAAGCCTGAAAATGGAGGAAGTCTCAGGCGGGAGCCTCGTCTGTGAGTGAATTGGGAGGAAGTCTCAGGCGGGAGCTCCCTCCCTATGGGGCCCGCAGATCATGTTGGTAATCCGAGCGGGTCATCGGAAACCTGTAACTGTCGTCACTTTTGGGTTCGTCAAGCCTGAATTTGGAGGAAGTCTCAGGCGGGAGCCTCGTCTCTGAGTGAATTGTGAGCAAGTCTCAGGCGGGGGCCCCCTCCCTATGGGGCCCGCAGATCATGCTGGTAATCCGAGCGGGTCATCGGAACCCTGTAACTGTCGTCAATTTTGGGCTCCTCAAGCCTGAATATGGAGAAAGTTTCAGGCGGTTTTGTCCAGGGCGGAGGCGAAGCAGCTCGCGGCAGAGCTGGGCTTCGTGCTGCCTTCCGCCTGAGCGCGGCTGCGCCTCGCTCGAAGCCCGCGGGGTTGTCCCAACGGCTTGGTCTTGCGCGCCAGCGGCTCGCGGGGTTGTCCCGACAGCCTGGCCCGCGGGGTTGTCCCAGCGGCTGCGCGACGTGACCAGTAGAGAACGCGCCTGTGCTGGCCGTGGCGAATCTGGAAAAAGCCATCACCGTCGTCCTCGTGGTTGGTGAGGCGTCCTGGCTGTCTCTTCTGCGTATATTTCCTCTCGCCTTGGCGCGGGCCCCCCTTCCACTCCTTGCGTTGTCCCCGTCCTCGCCCCCCTGTTTGTTCCGCGCCCCGCCACCTCCTCCCCTTCCTGTTGCATGAGCGCGCATGTCGATGTTCCTCGGCGCCGTCGCCGCCACGGCCAGCACAGGCGCGTTCTCTACTGGTCACGTCGCGCAGCCGTTGGGACAGCCCCGCGGGCCAGGCTGTCGGGGCAACCCCGCGAGCCGTTGGCGCGCAAGACCAAGCCGGGGTTGTCCCGACAGCCTGGCCCGCGGGGTTGTCCCAACGGCTGCGCGACGTGACCAGTGGAGAACGCGCCTGTGCTGGCCGTGGCGGCGACGGCGCCGAGGAACATCGACATGCGCGCTCATGCAACAGGAAGGGGGGGAGGTGGCGGGGCGCGGAACAAACAGGGGGGCGAGGATGGGGACAACGTAAGGAGTGGAAGGGGGGCCCGCGCCAAGGCGACAGGAAATATACGCAGAAGAGACAGCCAGGACGCCTCACCAACCACGAGGACGACGGTGATGTTTTTTTTCCAGATTCGCCCAGAGGATTCTTATGTGGGGTTCTTCCGTCGGAGTAATTGGTGAATGAGGCGGAGTCGCCCATCGTCTTCCTCCAGGAGGTGGCCACGGACCCAGATGCCCAGAAGGCTCGGGAGGACACTATGAAGGCATATGGCTGGCAGTTGGCTTTGAACCCGTCTGTTGTCACGGAACAACGGGGCCTCTCGTCGGGAGTTGGCATCGCGGTCAGGGGCCGCATCGGTATGGGCGAGGCCCCCAGCTTAGTCAAGGCGCTCCCCTGCCCTCGCAGGGCCCTGGCTGTTTACGTCAACAGCTTTGTTCCTGGAGATTCCATCGCTGTCAGCCTGTATCTCTGGGGCCAGGATCCGCTGGGGCAGGAAGGCAATCATCTCCTGGCTCGTCTTGGGGGGTACCTCTTCGTTTTGGGCATTCCGGCCGTCGTCGGGGCCGATTGGAACTGCGCTCCTGAGGACCTAGAAGCTTCCAAGTGGCCAGAGATGTTAGGTGGGGTCTTGGTTCGGACGACCGAGCCCACCTGCAGGTCCACCAGCCAGAAGTGGAGGACGACCGATTTTTTCGTGGTCAGCCGTGCTCTCCTTGGGGTGTGCCATAAGATTGCCAGGCACGAGGGCGCCAGCCTCAGGACACACTGGCCCATCGCCCTTACTTTCACAGGGCACCCCCATGAAGGAGAAGGTGCGCATGCTGAAGCGGCCTCGTGCTTTTCCAGTGGCGCTACCTGTTGGCCCGCGTCCTGAGCCGCCCGACTGGGGCGATTTAATCGAGGCGGCAGAGCGGCGCGGCGGAGGGAGGCAGTTGGATCATGTTTTCGTTGTTTCTTTCAGCGTGCCGAAGACGAGCTGATCTCGGCGCACTCCATCGACCCCTTGGAGGCCCCCAAGTATCGTGGTCGAGGTCTCAAGCCCTAGTTTGTCTTGGTTCCTGCTCTTCGGAAGTCTGGCGGGGCCTACCCTGTGGACTCATCAGAGCCCAGGGGCTGGAGGAAGGTTGCTAACTGGGCGTATGAGTTATGCCATATTTCTAAGAAAGGGGAAGCCTGGGGAGATGAAGAGTCGTCCGCCATCCTAGAAAAGCTCTGCTCGGGGCCAGCATGCTTGAGAGGCTGTGCGCCGTGGCAGGGATGCCCCCCCGCCTTGGACGTGCTGTTCTTCTCCGCCACCAAGCAGTGGCACGGCCTTTTCTGCGAGGCGACCAAGCTTGCGTCCAGGCACGAGCTCGCTGCGAAGTCCGAAAGAAGTACGAAATGGAGGGCCTGGGTTGCTGAAGCTGTCTCGGAAGGGGCTGGAAAGGCCCACAAGTATTCGAAGCCCTCGGTCGGTTGGGTCCCTTCTACGAGCCTCCAGGGTGCCCCTCCTCCTGGGCCTCAGCAGCAGATCGACGAGCTCTTGGGGTCCTGGAAGGGTGTCTGGAAGCCCCCCCCCCGAATCTGAGGCCATGCCTGATCCCGTGGCGCACTGCGCTGCCATCCTCCAGCAGCGGGCCAGTGAGAGAGGGTTACGGTGGAAGACTTGTGTCCTCCTGCTCGTGATCCAGACTCCATCAGGAAGGTAGCTTCTAAGTTTACGAGGTGCACTGCTCTTGGAGGCGGCGCGTTGCACCCCGGGGGGCTGGCCAATCTCTCCGACGGGGCCATCAGGTGCCTCGCGCTGCTCTGGCATTGGCAGGAGTGCACTGGCATGTTCAGTGCCAAAGCCTGAAGGAGGTTATCGGCCCATCGGCATCGAGTGCGCAGTCAGCAGTTTTTTTTTGTTTTTTCCGCAATATGGCTCGGCATGAGGCGGTCGAGTGGGGCAATCGTCATCCACGGACGCACCATTACGGGGTGAAGGGCAAGTCGCGTGAACGTGCGGTCTGGGAACGGAGCCTCTCGGTTGAGAACCGCAGCCTCATGGGGTTCACCGCGGGGCTCACGTTGCTGGATTCGACTAAGGCCTACGAGAAAGTTGTGCATTTCCTGCTGGTGCAGGCGGCAGTCTCGTGGCACTTTCCAATTTTGCGCATCAGGCTGCTTTTAGCGAAGTATCGATGGCCTAGGGTCCTCCTGTTGTCTGGCATCTGCTCCGACATTGTGCATGTGGAGCAGACTATTTTGGCTGGATGCCCGTTTGCGACGACGTTGCTTAGGGTGTTTCTCTTCTCCCCCCTGGACAAATTGTGCGCGCGCTTCCCCTCCGCAGTTCCCTTCGATGTGGTGGGCGACATCGCCCTGTTCATGGGGGGGGGGGGGCTGCCAAGGTGGTCCAGACTCGTCTTGGGAGTGCTACTGCGTATTTATGTGGGCTCCTGGAGGCCCAGCTACTGGTCGTCTCGGAGTCCAAGGGCAAGGTGCTGTCTTCGTGTTCTTCGGTGGCCCGTGCAGTGGCCAAGTGGTTGGGCATCTGGAAGTTCGCGGCTCCTGCTGCAGCCGGGAATCTGGGATGTGACTTTGGGATGGGCCCCGAGGGCATCAGGTCTAGGGCTGTCGTGGGCGCGAGGTTCCGCAAGGTCCACAGTCGGTTGTCTAAGTTTCGCAGCCTTCGGAGCTCCTTCCAGGGCCTCATGAAGGTTATCCGAGGTGGGGCGCTCCCTCAGGGCATGTATGGGGCCACTATCCAAGGGATGGACGATGGGCGTGTTCGGGCCATGAGGTCTTCCCTGGCTACCGCCGCCTTCGGAGTTGCTAGAGGTCGCAGCTGCGCGATGGAGTTCATGCTTTCCTCGGTGCCCCAAACTGATCTTGAATTTGAAGCCAACCGGCTTCCACTCCTTGCTTGGTCAAGGGCGGCCAGGGAAGGATGGGCAGATGCAGCCATCCAGAGCCGCTGTTTTGAAGCGGCGGAGCGCTACCCGAGTCTTGCGTGGACAGACGTGCGCGGCCCAGGCTCGGCGGTTGTGCTCACGCTCAGGATATTGGATTGGCATGCTCTGTCCTGGAGTCTTTGGAAGACTCGTTCGGGGATCACCATCGACATTGGCATCATCGGCGAGCGCTCGCTTCATGCGTTGATCACCCGAGATACTCATGACCTGCTCCGTGCTCGTGTGGGCCTCAAGATGTTTGGGTATCCTGGGCTCCCCTTGGTGGCTCCTATCATCGAGTTGTGCCGTGAGTATCGTAATCAAGCAGGCAAGCAGAGTAAGAAGAAAGCTTGGCTCCTGTCGGGCTTGGCGGCGGGTGGTTTCCCTGCCCAGGCGGTTCTCTTCGAGGATAGGCGCGCGGTTGATCTCAGATGTCAAGTTTGTTTCAACGAGCCAGGGACGCAGATGCACCGCCTTTTTCGTTGCCAAGCTCACTGTGGCCTGCGGCGGCACCTGGACCTACAGGAGCTTCAAGAGCAAGCTGCTGGGCCTGGTGCAGATCCCTTCCGTCTCACTCGAGGGTTGAGCGCGTCGCCGGAGGTTCGTTGGCCAGCGCCTATTCAGCATGAGTGTGTTATGTGGGACAAGGCTTCCGCGACGGGACTCATGAGTCACCGCATTTGCCTGGGCGGGTCTGCGCTCGACCCAGCTATGCCATTCAGCCGTGCTGGATGGGCAGTCGTGTGCATGGACCCACAGGTCGCGGCGATCGCCCCGTCCAAGTACGGCCCGCTTCCCCACCCTGTGCAGGGGGCGGGGTGTGGTGAAGTATATTCGTTGCGGATGGCGTTGCGATCGCTCGAGGTCGGTGTTGTGGAGATCGCCTCGGATTGCCAGCTCGTGGTCGATGTCTGGGCCAAGGGTCCCGATCAGGACTTGGGCGGGCTGGCGTATTCGGAAGTGTGGGTCCAAATCTTTCAGGTTGCTCAGGACGATGGGATTGAATCTATCACCCTCCTCAAGGTCCGCTCTCACTTGTCCCTGATGAAAGCTCTGGAAGCTGGCATGCCCATATGGGCGTGGAAGGGGAATAAGGAGGCCGATCGTTTAGCCGAGGAGGGGGCCAAAATGCATCCTGCGAGCCCCAGGGCCAAAGCTGAGTATTTATCTCTCCCTGAGCAGGTTAGGCTCATATGTATTTTGCTCGCTCGGAGTGGTGCTTTCCTGACGTTTCTAAGTGTAAAGCTAGTGGCCGTAAGAAACCTGCCCAGTTGGAGCTGGTGGCGGACTCCAACGGGCACTCTGTTTGTAGGTCGGGGCAGAAACTCCAGAGGTTTTTCAGTCAGAGTTGTGGGGGCAGGTCTCAGTCTAGGAAGGGGCTTTGTATGGCGCCCTGCAGGGGCCTCCCCACGATTGCACGTGCGGCCCACAGCTCTCATAAGCTGTGGATGGGGGGTGGGGGGGGGGGGGGGTCATCTGGTGCTCGAGGTGCGGTGTCCACGGCGCCCAGAGATCCCGTCTCCTGCAGTTGCAGTGCCGCAGAGCGCCTCGCAACAAAGGAGCCCAGCAGAGCCTAGCCGACCTCAGGAAGGGGAAGGACCTTTCTGACGGGAGGATTTTCGGAAGGAGCTGGCCCATCCCCGCCGAGCAGCTGCAGGAGGACGGCTAACCCCTCCTTGCGGCTGTTCTCTCTCTCTCTCTCTCTTTCCTTTTTCGTGTCGCTCCGTCGTCGTCAGCGTGCTGTGTAGCCTCAGGGAGCTGGACAGTTGCGCCACAGGATCACAGGATCACAGGAGGGGGAGGAGGACAAGAAGGAGGGCGAGTAGGAGGAGGAGGTGGAGGAGAAGGAGGAGGGGGAGGTGGGGGAGGAGGAGGAGGAAGAGGATGAGGAAGATGAGGATGAGGAGGAGGAGGGAGGAGGAGGAGGAGGAGGAGGAGGAGGAGGAGGAGGAGGAGGAGGAGGAGGAGGAGGAGGAGGAGGAGGAGGCAGAGGATAAGGGGAGGGTAATGGAGGCAGGAGAAGGATGAGGAGGAAGAGGATGATGATGATGATGATGAGGAGGAGGAGGGGGGTGGGAGGAGGAGGAGGCGGATGATGATGATGATGCTGATGATGATGATGATAAATAAGAAATGAGGATGATAATGGCGATGATAATTGTTATGCGTACGACTGTGATGCTGATGCTGATGATGATGCTGCTGCTGTTGAACATGATGATGGTCATGATGATGCTGCTCATGGTGATGACAACGAACACGATGATGATGAGGACGATGATATTGATGCTGATGCTTCTGGTGATGATGGTGACGATATTGATTGGATGTTGCTGCAGCGACGGATTAGGACGACGCTGCTGATGAAAATGTGCTGCTTGTGATAATGCTGATGATTGTGGTGGTGGTGATTGTGATGCTGCTGCTGTTGATGATGGTGTTGACGATGATGAGGATGTTGATGATGTTGATGATGGTGCTACTGATGATGCTGATAATGATTATGCTGCATCTGATGATGGTGATGATTGTGATGATGATGATGATGATGGGATATGCTATGGTATGATGAGGTTGCTGATGGTTATGATGATGCTGCTTCTTATGAGGATCATGATGATGACGATGCCGGTATTGTTGGTGATGCTGTTGCTGATACGGAGGAAAATTATCATGCTGATGCTGGTGGTGATGATGCTGATGATGCGGAGGATAATTATGCCGTTGATGATTATGCTGTTGCTGCTGCTGATGATGGTGACGATGATCATGGTAACGATGATGCTGCTGCTGATTGTAATGATCATGCTGCTGGTTATGCAAATGATGATAATCATTGCGATGATGATGAAAATGCTGATGATTATACGGATGATGATAGTGATGATGTTGATGATGACGTTGGCGATGATGATGCTCATGGTGCTGCTGATGATGATGCAAATTAGGCGGATGCTGATGATGATGATGATGATGATGCCGCCGATGCTGATGGTGACGACGATGATGCTTACGACGATGCTCATGATGATGCTGACGATGGCGATGATGATGCTGATGATGATGGTGATGACGATGCGGTTGAGAATGGGGATGATGACGATGCTGATGCTGATTCTGAGTCTGATGTTGATGATTCCGATGATGGTACGGGTGTTTATGGTGATGCGGGTGCTGATGTTGATGTTGATGTTGCTCCTTCTGGTGATGAGAATGCTCATCCTGATGATGATGATTATGATGATGA